CTGCCAGGCAGGGCGGTGGGGGAGGTGATTTATTAAAAAGTGTGGATATTGATCTAGTACCGATATCCAACTGCGACGGACAAAAACTCTCTAACAGTTTAAAGTTAGAAAGTGTGTGTTTATTGTGGTGTTGTGTGGGATAGCCCCCAAATACACACCGCAAGTTACAGGTGATTACAGAGTCCTTTTATCCATACAACTATTGGATACCCAAAATACAAATCCATATTCATAATTTTGGTACATCCCATTGCCCGCTTTGTATGCTAATTCGTTCAAAAGCTATTAAGCATGCGTGGTTTGTTCCTTGAAATGGGTCTGGGTCCCTTTCATGGGAGGGGTCCCAAAATGAGGAAGTAAATGAATTCTTCAAATTCTTCCTTGTTCTGACCTTTCTACCTTTTCAATGCAAATATGACAAATGAACTCTTGGTGGAACTCTCATTCCCTGTCTTCAATTGGTTTCAGAACAGAGGAGGCCCACAATTGTCTTATGTTCCTAAAGCTATTTATCAGTTTCTATATTCTTCATTATAAACCCAGCTAGCCAAACATTGTGTTGAAAAGCAATCGATTATTAATTAGTTAACTACTAAGTCTTAACTTCATCAAGGCCTACCCATTTATTTTAATTAACTCCAATAAAGCTTATCCCTAACTAAAAATCTTAGCTCCTTTAAAATCTCTAAATTCCTTAAAGTTCATGTCTCAGAGGTGATGGGATTTTTTTAGATGGATAATGAGATGATTGGCTCTTGCAATTAACGACAACAGTTGTGTGAATATTAAGAAAAGCTTTAGTGATGTATAGTTGTGTATTGCAGTTTAGGTGTCCTCTGTTGTCTCCAGAGTTCCTTTTCCTCCCCCTGTATTGTGACCATCAGACACCCGGGGTTGTCTAGGACAAGCCAAAAAGAATGAGTGCGCGTGTCCCTTATCTGGGGCAGTAACTTTTATGTAGTCCTTTGTTGTATTTTTATTAAGGTTTAATAAACCCTCTTAAATTTTCAAAGTGAGCAGTTGTTTCTCGCAGGACTGTGAGGCAGCCCTGGGCTGGGTTTGGGGAGCAGCCCCGTGCCGTGTCCCCGCTGTCCCCGCGGGGCTGACGCTGCCCTCCTGCCCCCAGCGCTGATGCACGCCGTTGTGTTCGGCAATGTCACGGCCATCATCCAGCGCATGTACTCGCGCCGCTCGCTCTACCACACCCGCATGAAGGACCTCAAGGACTTCATCCGCGTCCATCACCTGCCCCAGCAGCTCAAGCAGAGGATGCTGGAGTATTTCCAGACCACCTGGTCGGTGAACAACGGCATTGATGCTAATGAGGTAGGAGGTGTTGGTGGGGCTAGGCCAGCCCCCTCCAGCCCCGACCTGCACCGGTGGGGGGCAATGGGGATGGCAGGGCCAGCTCAGAGTGGTGCTGGAGGGGCAAATTCTGACAGCACGGGGACAGGCATAGGGAGCAGAAGCAGCTGATTACCGCAGTGCCTGCCTCTGCCCCTCGGGAGTGCTGAGACACCAGGGCAGCTCAGCAGCGAGATTCCCCGCAGGAAAGCTGCTCCCTGCTCCCTGCCCCTCGTGCCCAGAGCCCCGGCTCCTCTGTCCCCAGCTGCTGCACGACTTCCCCGACGAGCTGCGTGCGGACGTGGCCATGCACCTGAACAAGGACATCCTGCAGCTGCCCATCTTCGAGACGGCCAGCCGGGGCTGCCTGCGCTCCCTCTCGCTCCACATCAAGACCTCGTTCTGTGCCCCGGGGGAGTATCTGCTGCGCCAGGGCGACGCCTTGCAGGCCAACTACTTCGTGTGCTCCGGCTCCCTCGAGGTGCTGAAGGACAACGTGGTCCTGGCCATCCTGGGTGAGGGCAGGTGGCGTGGGCTCTGCCCCAGCCCTTCCTGCTGCCCGGCAGGGTGAGGGGCTCGTGTCACTAGCCCACCCCTCCTGCAGGCAAAGGAGATTTGATTGGAGCCGACCTGTGCAGAACGGACCAGGTGATCAAGACCAACGCGGACGTGAAGGCTCTGACCTACTGTGACCTCCAGCACATCGGCCTGCGGGGGCTCTGTGAAGTGCTGCAGCTCTACCCCGAGTACGCCAGCAAGTTCACAGCTGACATCCACCAGGACCTGACCTTCAACCTGCGGGAGGGCAGCGAGATGGAGGTGGGTGCGTGTCCTGCTGCTCAGGCCCCTTCCTGTGCTCACAGCCCTGGGGCTGGGGCTGTGCACGGCCCTGGAAGGGGAGTCTGTGCTCTCAGTCCCCAAGGCTGGGGCTGGGGCTGCAGCTCTGCCACCCTGGCATGCAGGTATGTCCTGGCCTGGCTCTGTGCAACCCGGGGAATTGGCAGAGAGAGCCTTTGCAGTGCAGGAGGATGAGGTAGATGGAAGGCCAGGAAATGGGGTTGGAGAGAACTGGGGGGGTACTGCAGGACAGACAGCCAGGGCAAAGCCCCCTGGAGTGCAGCATGCAGCTGGGTTTAGTCATGTTGATGGCTCCAGCATCTGGGGGGGATGTTCTGCTGCAGAAATGGCTCTGCTGCACTTCACCTCTCCCAGCTCTGCTGAGAGAGGCTTGGATCTCCTCTGGAGCATCTCCCTGGTACCCAGTTTCCCCCCGAGCCTGATGGAGGTGGTGTGGGAGGTCCCAAACAGCCCTACCAAGACCCACCATGACCATAACACAGGAGGGGCATACACAAACAAAGAGAGGTGAATGCCAGGAGGGTGCACCAGGCTCTGCACCTGTGTCACCCTCCCACGCTGGCTGCATGCTCCAGTCAGAACCGGTGCTCTGATGGCTGAGCCGGGGCTGGGATTTGTGGGGCAGCCTGGGCTCTGCCTCAGGACACTCAGCCGAGGCTGGGCAGCTCACCATTGACATGGCAGCAGCAGAGGAAGGAGAGTGAGTGAGGCGTGGTGGAGGCTGGAACTGAGGCTGATGTGTGGGGCCGGGGAAGGCTTGGCTGCTCAGGGGGGCACTGAGAGGCTGGGGGGGCTGCGGGCCCGTGGGGCTGTGCGGGGGCTCCCTCCTGCTGCTGAGCCGCTCCCGTCTGCTCTCCCCGCAGGGGCTCTGCCGCTACTCCCGGTCCCCGAGGCTGCCGCAGGCGCCGCAGGTTCGTCCCTTGCCGCGGCCAAGGGGGAGGACGGGGCAGGGATGGCTGTGCCCGGGACCAGCCCTGACCTCCTGCCCGCCCGCAGCCTCGTCCGGAGAGCGGTGCTGCCCCGGAGAAGCCCCTTCCCTCCATTGTGGAGGATGAGGAGGAGCACGACGAGGTTTTCCAGCAATCCCCTGCCGGCGGCTCCCGCCGCAAGCTGCTGCTGCCGGCGCTGAGCAGCTCCGTGCGCCGCGGCTCCCTGAGCAGCCTCCTGGGCGATGAGCTGTGCCAGGTCTCAGCCCTGCGGCACCACTGCCCCTCCCCAGCCCGCGGCGGCCGCGGCCCCTCTCCGCCGTGCCGGAGGGACAGCCGGCTCCAGGAGAGGGATGCCGGCGTGGGCGGGAGGCCGGGCAAGCTGCTCATCCCGTCCCTGCACTCGTGCGGCCCGCCCGACCTCAGCCCCAGGTAGGCTGGGGTGTGCGGGTGGCTCATCCGTGCCAGGCTGCCAGGGGGATGCTCAGTGGTGGCACAAGGGTGAGGGGGTGACGCGGGGCAACCCTCACCCCTCCTGCTCGGGGCAAACCTCACCCCTCCTGCTCTAGAGTGGTGGATGGCATTGAAGACAACGGAGGGACTTCGGAGGCACAGAGCTTCTGCTTCAGCACGGAGACGCCCCCGAGCGCGGCGAGGGACTCCCCCGGCGCAGGTAGTGCCAGCAGCGCCGGGCTGGGCACAGTGCCAGCCCTGGGGCTTGGCACGGCGTCCCACCGCTGTCTGCCGCCCCCCCAGCAGGGACTGACCCCGGCAGCCCAGCCCTGGTGGTGGAGGCAGAGCAGATAAAGCAGAACATCGGCAGGCTCAACCAGGAGGTGCGGTGGGGAGCAGAGGTGGGTGCACGTCCCCGAAACCCCCGGGGACACCGGCGGGTGCTCACTGCTGTCTGTCCTCCTCCAGATCAACCACCTCAACCGGGAGGTTTCTCACCTCAGCCGGGAGCTGCAGGGCATGATGGAGCTGCTCAAGGCTCACCTGGGCACCCCGCACTCCCCGGCCTGTCCCTGCCGTCTGCCCGCCGCCGTCTCGCCGCCCGCTGCCCCGGTGCCCCCCTCGCCCCCGGTGCCCCCCAGCTCCCTCAGCTCGCCCAGCGCCAGCCCCCGGGCCAAACGCTGCCCGGTCCGCAGCCGCTCTGCCCACGCCGCCGCCACGCACCCCTGGCTGGGCTCCGAGGGGCCGCGCCCGCCGCGGGGGGACAGCCCCGCTCCCGGTGCCGACCCCCGCCGGGGCTCGGACTCGCAGCCGCCGCCGCTGCCGCCCCGCTCCGCCCGTTCCTTCCCCGGCTGCTCGGTCGGGGCTTGGTGCCGCGCCCGCCCGCAGCCGCGATCCGGCTCCACCAGCTCCCAGTGACCCCGCGGGCACCGGCGGGAGCCGCACCGGGGAGAGCCGCACCGGGGCTCGCTGCCGCGGGACCCTGCCCGGGGGTCCCGGGACCCGCACTCCGAACACGCGCAGGGATTTTGATACGGTTTTATACTCTTGGCCCACGGGGCCTTTTCTACAGCCCCGCCCGGGTCTCCCGGGGCGGTGGGACGTGGCGGGGCAGCGTAGGGATCTCCGGTGCGGTCTCCGGTTTGCCCGGGGGTCACGGGCGCTGCCGCCCCTCCGCGGCTGTAGTTCGTGTTGTTCCGCCCCGCCTCTCCCACGCTCCCCGCAACACCGAGAAATAAAGGCTCTATTTTTCCAGCCCCGGCTCCGCTGATTCTCCGTCCGCCGCGCCCCGCCCGAGTCCCTCACGGGGCCGGTCGCACCGGGACTCCTCCGGACTACAACTCCCAGCAGTCACCGCGGGAGCGCCATGACGTCAGGCACAGCTCACCGGGGCGGGGTGGGGGCGGGGCAGAAGGGGGGTGATTGGCAGCTGCGTCTGCCTGTGGCCGGAGAGCGAGGGGCGGAAGGGGTGGTGGGGTCCGGAAGCGGAACGGGTAAAGGCGGAAGTGAGGGCCGGGGCCTGCGAGACGCACCGGCGGGAGCGGCGCTGCGGGCGGTGAGTGCGGCCGCGCCTTTCGCGCCGAGGTGGCCGAGCCCGGCCCGAGGCGGTGGAGCCGTTCCCCGGGATCTCGCTCTGCCGAGGGCGGCAGGCGGGCCGCGCCGCTTGCGGGGCCCCGTGGCGGGAGCGGAGCGGCGGCTCGGTGGCGCCGCCGTGCCGGGCGGGGCGGCGCTGGGGCTGCAGCTGACGGGCGCTGCCGCCGGCGGGGCGGGGGCTGTGTGCGGCCCGGTACCCCCGCCGTGTGCCGGCCTAGCGGGGCCCTGCGTGCCGTGCGAGGCGGGGCAGCGGCGGCTCCGGCCTGCGGTACCGGGAGACGAGCCCGGGGCACGGTGCCCGGCTCAGGGCAGGCGTCCCGGCGGCGCTGTGGGTGCTCGGGTCGGGCTCCTCCCGGGCCAGCGGGAAGGAGCAGCCGGTACCGTGGGGTTGTCCGGGAGCTGTGTCCCGGTTCCCGTCTGTCACAGCCGCGGCTGAGTGGAGTTCAGTGGGGTTGGGGAAGGGGTTTTCATGGTGGGATCGTGTTTTGTAATAGCTGCTCAGCCTCTGAGCGGGGAATGGAAGCTCCAGGAGCTGGGAGGCCCAGCTGGGGTCCCGGGAGCTGCTGGAGTGAGGGAAGTGAACTGGTTTGCTGCAAACGGGCTCCAGGGCAGCCTGGCCTCACCCACTGCTGCTGCCAAGCACAGCCCTGTGCCCCTCGAGGGCCCTTGTGAAGGGAAACCCACGGGGCTGCAGGGCCCTGGGGCTGCAAGGACATTTTGTGGCTTGTCTGTAAGGGGATCTCGAGCAAGGCTGTCCTTATCTCTGTCACAGCAGGACAGACCCTGGTGTGTGAGCTGGGGGTGGGATTGCACCGGGATGCAGCTGTGAGCGTGAGCAACAGGTTTGCCCTGCTAAATCCTGGGGAAACTGCTCACACCTTATTCCTGGTGATGCTCCTGGGGCTGGGCAGGAGCTGGGAGTGGTGCTGGGACCTGCAGGGAGCCCAGGCCAGCTCTGACCCCTGCCCTGCTGCCCTCAGTTGTGCTGCTGGAGCTCTGACCTTGGCTGTTTTCAGTGCTGGAGGGAAGCTGGAGAGGAGAACATGTCGAGGGACTATTTTAAGTCTGGTGTGGAACAACTTGCATCTGCTATTCTTAGCTTTTTGTGTGGAGGGTCAGCTCACTTGGGCTGCCCTGTTTACAGCCTCACATTGGGCCTGTGCTCTGCTGGGGCTCCTGAGCCACCTCTGAGCCTTGCTGGGGCCAAAAACGCCAACTCAGTCCATTGTCTTGGCATGCCATGCTGGGGGAGCTTCCTGCAAATACCCACTGATACCCACTGCTGCCTTGACTCTGAAAGCCTTTTACATTTCTTTTCAGCTCACCTGGATAATAAGGTGAAAGAATTATGTCTGAAAAGGGTTAAGAATGCAGGATAGTGGCTGTAGGCAGCTACAGGACAATGTTGATGCATTCTTGGAGTGAGGCAAGCGAGCCTGGCTGGATCTGGGAGGTCAAGGACAGGAATGGTTGGGGTCATAGCTGGGTCTCAGTGTTGAAATCACCTCAGACCCCTCATGAGTCACAGTAGTTTGCTGGAGCAGTCAATACCTTCAGACCAAAAATCTGCTTCTGGGGTGACCTTCTCTGCTAAGATGCTCTGGCTGATTTAGCTGACACTTGATTGCAGGCTGTGCAGGCAGTGAGGGGTCACTGTAGGCTCTGTAAGTGGGTGCTGAGACAACCCATGCAAGGTGAAATGGACTCCTGGAGAGGGTTTGGGTTATTGGAGAGCAGGAGGGAAAGGCTGGCTTGGCATGTGGATATGAATATAGTAAGATAAAACATTTATCTAGTTTGGCATTAGTAGAGTACACTTTGTTTTCCTGTGAAACCATTGATGAGTCGGTGTAGTGGTTTTGGTTTCCCAGTTTGAGATTTCACCAATTTTTAGATTTCCCAGCCAATTGGACAGTTGGGCAGTGGGTAAAGGAGCTGTCTGGTGATGTGTGTGTGCTTGGCCAAACTGTTGTGCTGAGATGTGGGATTATCTCCATCCCAGCAAAGCCCTTCTGCATCTCAGCAGGGATCCAGGCTTGCTCTAGGCCCTGCCAGTCATCAGCTCTGCATCCAAACTTCTTCAGCTGCTGCACAGTTCTGGATGGTGGTCATGGCATCTCCCTGGAGAGGGAGGGGGAAGGAATGCCGAGTGCTTTCAGACACAGGAAATGAAATGGGAACGCTTCTAATGAAGTGGGTGTAGCCCAGAGTATTCCTGTCAGCAGACTTAAAAGAGGATAGAATGTGGAAATGTTGGAGTCAGCTGTTTTCTTCCCTTGGGGTATGAAGTTTGCAGCCTCTTATGCAAGTCCTGAGAAGTTGTCAGAATAACACTGAAAACACTTAGACACTGGCCAGAAACAGGAAACCTTCCTGGATGTGACAGTACTGGGGAGGTATAAAATTCATCTGAGGTCTGGGGGGAATGCTGTCCTCCCCTGGAGCACAGGAACGAGCTGCTGGAGCAACTCTGCATAAACAGATAAGAAAACACTGTTTTTCATGTTTGCTTTGGTTTGGTAGCACTCCAAATAAGGAGCTGCTTGAGGCAGGAGATCTTTGTGCAGTCTGGGAAAGATATTCTGAAGGTCACAGATTCCTTGCAGTGCAGGTGGCAGTTTGCTGCTTTGCATTGCTGATGTTGCCTTCTTGCTGACTGAACAGTGGGTGCTATCCAAGGCATGTGTTGCTGAGTGTCTGGTCAAAGTGAAGCTGTGTCTGTTGAGGGCATCTGAACAGGAGTTAAAAAAGCTTTGCTGAAGAATTAAAACCTTGATGCTTTTGTTCCATTTGAATCAGTCCAGGCTGAATGCATGGGTTGATACTCCATCCTTGCTGTGCTGAGGATAACTGGAAATAGGTGAGGGCTCCAAGAGGGAGCCATGTGGGACAGGGAGCTAGTTGCAGCTAATGGGAGATGGAGGTGATGTAAAACTCTTCCACAGAAGTCTGTGCTGGAGGGATTGTCACAGCAGGGTGGTGGCCTTGAAATCTCTGGGGATAGAGTTGTTTTGGAAAAGCTGCTTTGGAAAACAGCTGGCTGCTGGGGCTGCTCCAGAGGCCATGGATGTGCAAATGTCAGGAAACAGATGTGTGTATCAACAGCATGAGAAGATGGTACTAATTCAGGTCTGTAGCTGAATGAAGAGTTCAACTTTGGAATGGAAGTCCTATTTACCTCTAATTTAAGGTGAGCATGTCCAAATCTTTGTGAGTCTTGGATGTGGGACTGCACAGAGAAGTTGTTACACTATCATGAGTTAGTCACAGCCTTGGGAGTGCTGCTGAAACTGCTGTCTGAGCTGATTTGGGTCTGTGAATCTGCACTTTAGGGCTGTAGTGCAGCTCCTGCCAGCTGAAGTGGAGAGTGGCCCAGTTCAGAGCAGATCCTGAGCTCCAGACTGTGTCCTTGCTGATCAGGGCACTGAGGGCTCATTTCTGTGGGGAGGGAGAAGGTAGGAAGGCAGAGAATTCTCTGTGGAAAGGTAGAGTATGAAACTCATGCAATCTTGGAGTGAGGCCAACAGGTAAAGCATGAGCCTGGTTGGATCTGGGACTGATGGGACTGAGCTCTGTAGGTTGAGTGTTTCCTGGCTCTCCTCTGTAGCAGCTAGGTCTGTTCCTCCTTTTTCTGCAGCCTGGACCCTCCTGGAAGAGGTGGGGGTCCTCCTCCTTCCTGACCAGGCTCAGGAAGTTTGTTCTGATTAATCATATTGATGAATTGGAATATTGAGTTGACATTCCATGCTGTGCTAGCCTGGGCTGGTGTGGTCTGTGTGTGGCTCTGGTGGGACCCACACTTTCTGCTGGTCCTGCTTGCTCCTGGCTCCATGTCCTGAAGCTGACTCTGCAGCCCTGGGCCAGCTGCCTGTGCAGTGTGAGGTGAAGCAAAACCACTGGGTAACTTCAGGGCTTCCTTTGCCAAGGAATTCATGTAACGCTGTCAGCTATTTAACGAGATAAATACTTCACTGGGGCTTTTGTCTTGAGTATTTTGGTTCTGAGCCAACAAATCCCCAGTGAAGCAACTCCTTGCATAGCTGAGAACAGCAGCAGTCGTTTGGGTAACCAGAGTCTTCAGGATTGGGTTTCTAAATATCCTCAGCTTTCAGAGTTGTTTTTGCCACTGGCTTAACACAGGGCAAAAATATCAGATTCTCTAACTTCTGACACCTTAAATGAGCAGCCTCCCTGTGGTGAGGTCTCCTGCAGGGGTTAACATGGGGATCTGACAGCAATTCCCATGTGGAGATTTGTGTTCTTGTCCTGGGTAGGTTTGAGAGTTATGGAGAACGGTCTTGCACTTGGGCAAGCAGGGAGCGCAGCAGCCATGGTGTGTGCTTTCTCATTTAGGGCGCTCAGATTCTTGAATTTAATATTCCTGGCTGTGTACAGCCCCCTCCAGCAAACCTTGGTAGGCAGAGGAGGGGTTGGAGGAGCACAAACTGCAGAAGTGATAGACCTGGAGCTCTTACTTGTGGGACAGCATCAGGAATTGGTACTTGACTTTGATCTCAAAGCAAACAAGAAATAAAAATCAGTGCTTTTCCTGTGGGATGCAGAACTCCTGTGTGTGCTTCAGTGAGCAGGAGGTGGGTAGGGCAGGTAAACAAACCAGCACGGGCCTTCTCATGGCTCTTGTGATCTCCCAACTGCTGGGTTTCACTAGTTAAAAGAAACTAGTAGAAAAATGAATGTCTGTTAGTCTTGATTACATGAGTACCCCACCATGCCCTTCCTTTTCATGGCCCTGACAGCTTGAATTAGCAAGACAAGCTGGGACTTCAGCTGCTTTCCCTTGTCTGTGTGGCACTGCTGTGGATATTTTGGTCTGCCTGACCCTGGCTCGAGTGTCAGTGCTGGGGTTCTCGTGGGGAGCAGGGAGGGGTGAATGCCCAACCCTCTGCTGGAAGAGGTGTGAGGATGAGCAGCTCCCCAAGCACCAGAAATGGCTCCACAGAGCAGGAAGCAGTCCCTGTTCCTCAGCTCAGTGTCCACTGGTGGGTGGAGGCTGATCTAGCACAGCTTCAGGCTGTGTAGTTCAGCTGCCTGTTGCCTCTGCAGAGCTCAGTTCTGCCTGACTGCAATCCTCAAACATCTTGGCATTGGCAGAAAGTGCCTGTCCTGCCAGGGAGTGTGTCTGCAGCATTGGTGGCACTTCCTTTGGTTATTTGCTTCCTCCTGTGACCATCAGCTGGGCATCCAGGTCTTGGCTGTGTCCTAAGCCCAAGGCCACCAGTGACCAGTTAGGGTCTCTAAATTCCACTCAAACACCTGAAAGGTATGGCAACTTCTCATGTGAACATGTAATCTTGTATCCAAGCATCAGACCACCCTTAGATGATGATCTGGTTCTCCACAACTGGAGCAGCTCTGGCTGCTGCCCTGCCTGCACTGACCAGTGGCTGTCCACAGTGAGCTCAACATAGATGTGCTCACCTAATTCTGTTGGAGCTCATGTAGCACAAGCAGATGGCAAAATGCATCAAGATCTGTGAAATATAGGTCAGGCTAAGGCTTGAGGATGTCAACAAGCTCATTTCCTTGTTTTGCTCTGGGAATGACCGCTATCAGATTTCGGGAGGCCATAACTCAGGCACGCTGTGCTTCACACAGTGTTTGTGCAGAATGTTGGTCTGGAGCAGCAGTGGAGCTGATAGACTGCCCAGGGAGTTATAAATACAAGGTTAAACCCAAGCTGCTCCCTTGCAAGCTCTGTTTAGAGGGGAAGCACTGAAAGGTGGAAGTCTCTTCAGGTTGGTAGAGATGCAGAGCTGCTGCTGAGCCTCTCGAACCTGGTGGTGACCAAGCTGCTCCTGGCCACAGCAAGCAGTGCACCCTCACTGTCCAGCAAAGCCAGTTGTTGGTCTGTTTCATATCAAGCTTTCTCATCCTGTCAAACAGTGTTTGCCCTTCCTCTGTAGAGGGAGGGGAGTCCTGACTGTGCTACTTGCAAGGACTCAACTCTGAATTACAATATCTTCACTGCTTAACCCAAGGCTGGGACTCAGAGCAATGACTTCACAGCTCTGGCTCCTGAAACATCCCACAGCACTCAGAAATTTTACTCCTCTGTTTCTGTCTTACCTGCCAGTTCTGGTGACTGGTACCAGCTTAACAGCTGGTGTCTGACTGCCTCCTGCTCAGAGCAATTTGAGGTGGGATGTCTCTAGGTCAACGTATGCTCAAGTGCTTTGTGTTGTGTAAGCTGCTGGGTTCTCCAGCTGGGCACTCACAGGCTCCAGAGTAGCTCTGAAATGGCTGGAGGTTCCCTGTCAAGCTATGGGATTGTTTAAACTTGAGGCATAGTTAAAGTAACCTCAAGCAGTCACAGATGGACAGGCCTTGCCCTGGAAAGCAGCTGTTTGAAACTCTGTGCTGAGGAGGCTTGAGCTTTGTTCACAGGACACTGCTCCAGTTTGACCTGTTTTAAACTTCTTATTCATTGGTATCTAATTGCTGGGAAAATGCAGGATGTACACAGAGTTTCTTTGGGGTACTCTCAGGATGAGGAGGAATTGGCTTTTGGGGCATTTTCTTTCAACAAACAGCCTGCTTTAGGAAAGTAGAAGGGAAAGTGGTGATCCACAGCAGATGCAATCAGCTGTAGCATTTATCATCCACAGGGAAGTGGGAGTTGCGAAGGGTACAGGAAATGTGCCTAAATCTGTAACTGTGTACTTGGAAAGCATTCCTGTTCTCTGCAGGCAGCAGAGCTTAGTGCTTAGGGAGGCCCTGGGATTCACTTGTGGCTAACTCTGGATGCAAATCAGCTTGTCCTGCTGTTGCTGCCATGGTTTTGTGCTTCTGCAGCACTTGGGAGGTTGGTGCTGGGGAGTGGTGATCCCAGGGGATGCTGACTGTTCATGCTGCCTTTGAACAGTCCATGTGAGGAGCGTGGCCTGGTGACCTGGAGTGCTGTGGGATAAGGGTGCTGAGGCAGCGGGGTGGGTGTGGGAAGCATTAGGTGCTGCCTCTGGACCAGGTTGGGTGGTGATTCCTGGTGTGCAGCAGGGATGAGAGGGGGAGCTGGGGACAGCCTGTGCCCAGAGAGCAGCTGCTGTCAGGTGCCTTTCTGAGGTGGGCACCTCCTCAGGTGCCCCCCTGTAGCAGACCAGCTGCCTGGCTCCAGGGCCATCCTTGGGCCCTCTGGGAGGTGCAGAATGTTGTGGTGTAAGTGCCTCAGGACAAACAGGCAGCTCTAGAAATTCCTTTTGTCCAAATGCCTCATGACCTGCAGAGCTGCCTCCTGCCACTGTGGCACTGGGATGGCTCTGTACAGCATTGACAGGCTGAAGTTGCTTCCTTGTGAACTCGGGAAAGGAGGAGGGAGCTAAAGGTCAAGCTCTGTTACCTCTGTGAACTGAGTAATTGCTGTTTGAACAGACAAAGCTCTAGTAACACCCACTGTGTGCTGGGTGCTCCTTACCTGCCTCACCCCAGCAAGGTGTGTGCAACATCCATACAGGGTGGAAGTGCTGGAGGGACCACTGGTGGGGAGGAGAGCTTGTATTACCATTACCTCTTTTCCAGGGAGGCTCTGCAGACTGAGATCCTGCTGCAGGGGCTGCTGCCAGGCAGGAACTGCTCTGTGGTGCTCACAGCTGATAACTTTGCAGTGTGGGAAGGAACCACCACCAGTCTGTGCTGATGGTGGCTGCAGATCAAGCCACCCTCTAGAACTGGTACAGCTGGTCCCTTGAGCGTGTCACTAACTCTGACCTCCTCTTCCAGTTGCAACCTGCCTACAGGTGGATCCCAGTGCAGAACCTGCAGCATCCTTAACTCTCGGCACTCCTGCACTTAGACCACGATGGCAGGTCGAGGTGGAGCTGCCCGACCGAATGGACCAGCTGCTGGGAACAAAATCTGCCAGTTCAAACTTGTTCTCTTGGGCGAGTCAGCGGTGGGGAAGTCCAGCCTGGTCCTGCGCTTCGTGAAGGGGCAGTTCCACGAGTACCAGGAGAGCACAATTGGAGGTGAGTGCCAGCTCCAGATGCCTGTGGCCACGAGGTGCTGACCTTGCTGGGGCAGTCTGCGGTGTCAGAAGCAAGACTGGCTATTTTGGTCTGGTCTGGGATTTTTGCTATAAATAGAGCCCAACAGTTAATGCTTTAACTCTTGGTTCACAATTAGTTTGTTGGTGTAATGATCAGCACAGCAGAGAATAACGCTATGGCAACCCCACACTTGGCCTCTGAGGCTTTGTTTCCAGTGTCTCAGCTCCAGCTTCTAATTGGAACTGAGGCCTTTAGCTTGGTTTATAGCCCTTAATTATCTTTTCAGACCATGACCTGGGGTTTTGGGGCTGTTTCTAGCCTGATTCTGTTAACTACTTTCATGGTGCTTTCAGGTCTAGTAGTTTATTAGCTTGAAATCATTAGCACAGTGTCACCAATCAACCAAAGGCTGGTTAGCACGTGGGTCTCTGAGCAGCAATACTGGGGGCTGTCCTGAGGAAAGGCTTGAGTTGTCACTCTGTGACCTGTGCAGGGAGTGAGCACAGCTGAAAGTGTGGCTTACTGGCAAGCAGGGCCTAATGCCCCTCTGTGGAGGGCTGTGCTCTGCCTCAGTCTGTATCTGTGCCTCTGTGCTGTGTGTAACACGTGGTGTTGGACTCACTGGGATAACAAGCAGTTACTAAACTGGGGTGTGGGGTGTAAGTGGGCTGAGTTTGGTGCTGTTGTTGGTGCTCCCCAGGTTTGATCTTGGTGGTGCCACAGACTGTGTGATCCTGGCAGGGCTGCTGGAAGGTCTGGCACTGTGGATGCTCTTGGGGTCTCTGGGCCACCTTCCTGTCACTGTGTGGTGGTTCTGGGTTCCTGTGAACAGGGGATGTGACACAGCAGAGTGGCACTGGCCTCTCCAGGGCTCAGCTCACTCCCATGTGCCAGCAGAGCTGCTCTGAGCTCCTGGGCTGGCTCTGGGCCCTGGCCTGCTGGAGCTGAGGCAAACCCCCTTCTCTTGCAGCTGCCTTCCTAACACAGACAGTGTGTCTGGATGACACAACGGTGAAGTTTGAGATCTGGGACACGGCGGGGCAGGAGCGATACCACAGCCTGGCCCCCATGTACTACCGGGGGGCCCAGGCTGCCATCGTGGTCTATGACATCACCAACACAGTGAGTGTGGGCAGGGCTGGGGGGCTGCCAGGAGGCTCCCTGGGGGTGGGTCTGGGTCACAGCCCTGCCAGGTACCTGGCTGGGGCTGCCAAGTTCTTGAAAACTGCTCAAGGCCTCTTCCTCCGCTCCGGCCAAGGCTGTGAGCTGATAAAGGATCCTGCTGCCAAGTGCTGCAGAGGCAGGACACTTCTCACAGGAAAGCCTTGTTCTAATCATATCTGCCCTGTGGATTCCTACATGGCTGCCCTTCCTGACTGCTGCCTCCTGTTTGCTTCCAGGACACATTTGTACGAGCCAAGAACTGGGTGAAAGAGTTGCAGAGGCAGGCTAGCCCCAATATTGTAATTGCACTAGCAGGAAACAAGGCAGACCTTGCTAACAAGAGAGCTGTGGACTTCCAGGTGAGTGGGAATCCAGAGAAGTTGTTACCCTAGCAGGTCAGGAAAGCATCTTTTTGCTTAAGTGAGGGAGGTGGCAGCTATGTAAAATATGCTTTGAGGGAGAATGAAAGTGAAGTTTTGTGCTGAGGACTGCAGGATGCCACTGAGCAGGGTCTGTGCCCTTGATTCTGTCACAACACATGTGGCCCTTGGCTGGTGAAAGTCCTGATGAATGAGGAGGAGGAGGCCCACAGAGCACAAGCTTCTGTCCTCAGCCTCCTTTGCTGCCTTACTCATGTGGGGATATCTTCAGGGTGTGAAACAGCATCTTCTGGGTACAAGACACATGAGGAATCATTCCTAGCTTGTTCTCTGCTCTTCACAGCTCTTACCTCATCTGAGGCAAGTGCTCAGGAGAGGCTCTTACCCAGCCCTTGCACAGGGTTGCTTGTGGTGCCCTTGCAATGGGTGACACACTCCCAGGTGCTGTGTGGCTCAGTCAGGCTGTGCCCCAGCCTAGCTGTGGGACACTGGCCATGCAGGGCTGCTGGTGGAGCATGTCCCTGGCTTGTCCACGCCAGCTGGGAGCAGGGACAGGGGAGGGAATTTCTGGCCCAGGGTGGGACATAGTGTTTCTCCAGCAGTTAGTGGGTTGACAAGTGTAGTGCATGAAGTCTGCTTGGGCCTCCTGCCAGGCTGCCTTTAGCACTCTGATGTGATTGTTTGTAGGATGCACAGACATATGCAGATGACAACAGCTTGCTGTTCATGGAGACGTCAGCGAAGACAGCGATGAATGTGAATGAAATCTTCATGGCAATAGGTACGGCCTGTGTGTAGGGCTGGGGTAGCTCTGAGTGCCAGCACTGCAGCCCAGGAGGGTCCTGTGTCAGCCAGGGCTGCTGGCTCTTACTGGGGCACTTTGCCACACTGGTGTGATTGGTCATTCCCTGAGTGTGTGGAGCCTTAGCCTTGCAAAGGTTCCCTGTGTCTGGGGTGGTGATGGAGATGGGAGCAGGCAGCCAGGCAGAGCCAAGGAAGGGGTGGTTTGGCACGCAGTGCAAACTGCACGTTTGTCCTGTCCCAAACTGTTGGCAGTGAGGGCTCAGGCTGGAGCAGGCTGCACCCAGCCTGGGGCACACAGTGCAAGGAGGTTGATCTCTCTGGAGGACCCTGCTAACATCCCATTTCTTCCTAGCCAAGAAACTGCCAAAAAATGAACCCCAGAACGCTCCTGGTGGCCCGGGCAGGAATCGGGTGGTGGACCTTCAGGAGAGCAGCCAGCCGAGCAGAAGCCAGTGCTGCAGCAACTGAGCAGCTGCTGCAGCCTGCGAGCCCGTGGAGGAGTGACTGGAACCCACGCTAACGATCGCACTTACCGTAGGGCGGCTGCTGCCGGCGCCGCTGTGATTCTCCATCCCTTTCTGATCATAGGCTGGAGGGAGTTCTTCCACCTGCACCTTTCTGTACAAATACTAATTCAATTCTAAGTCTTAAGTCACTTTTTTAATATATGAACTTCTGCTCTTCCCTCTTCCTGGTGGTGGTGGATGCAGGACCTGGTGTCTGCCCAGCCAGCGTGGCCGTCCCGCAGGTGAGGCCAGCAGCAGCCAGGTCCCACAGCACTGTAGTTCACTATGGGAAACAAAGGGATATTGGGACACGTGTTTAAAGTTCCCTGTCTGTAAGAGCTGAGGCTGATCCCCTACGATGCGCCCAGAACAACCACTAAACTCTGTAGCATTAGAGACAAACTCCGGCTCTTGGGCCACTTATTGACCAAATCAATGATGAGTATTTGGGGTGGGGCAGAGGGAAGCAAAACTGGTTTCTTCTGTATTTTGTATTGTATGTTTCTCCATGTAACCAATCAGTATCTTGTCAATATAGTACATCCAACGAGCTGCCTGTTGTCTTTCTTTGTGTTGGACTCCAGCATGCCAACTCTTCTTTTCTCTCGGTTCTGTCGTAATGCACTAATCCTGTTGCAACTTTTGCAAAAAATCTTGTATAGAAATTTGTCCTTTTCTTGATGGTTGTGATGCCACTAATATTGTTAACCCTGCTCTGGTGGGAATACACAAGGTTTACTGATGTACAGAGGTGGGGTGGGGGAAACCTTGGGTAACCTGTTGGTGGAAATGACATGTATTGCAAAAGCCTGTAATTCCACAAAGAATGAAGGGAGGTATTAAATGGCTTCTGTTGCCAGACTCTAACTGATGTTGGCTGCTGCCTAGTGCCTAATGCAGTGTCTTATGCATCCTGGTATTTAAGAGGAACTGTTGACTTAGTCTTCATCACAAACTTCAGTTTTGTGTGATTAAAACAAAATTTTTATAAACCTATCATAACAACAATGTTCATGTTTCTTAATGCAGCAGGGACTGGACCTGAGCACAACAGTTCTTGGTGGAAGCTGAGCTGTGCTGGGCTGCTCCTGGTATGTCCCACACCTTGGTAGGGAAATGGGGCCCTTCCTTCCTGAGGAGGGAGAAATGGGGCTCCTGAGCTTGGGCTGTGTGGCTGCTCCTGCACACAGTGGTGCTGCTGGTGTTCACTTGGCTCCAGTGTGCTCAAGGAAGCTTGAGGGAAATTGTGGGAATTATTGCTTGCTTGGTGCTTCTGGGGAAACTACAATGCAAGATGGGAAGAGGTGGGGGAACAGTGTGTGGAGGAGCTCTGCTCTGCAGTGGGACAGGCTTGGGATGGTGCTCCAGAATTCATGAACACGGTGTCTCTGTCCCTGGAGCACGATGGCCTTGGAAGATGCTGCTCTCCTGTCACTGCTGCATGGACTATGAGACCCCAACACCCTGGGACCTGGAATCAGTATGGAAGAAGAGGCAGACCCTTGCAGCTCCATCCCTGCCACCTGTGCTGCCAGCAGCACCATTTGTGCTCAGGAGAGACTGGGGATGGAGATGTGCTGCATTTGGAACCCATTGCCCCCCTCAGCTGTGGGGCTGCGAGAGGCTCGGGCACAGAGCCTGTGAGTAGAGTGGTGTGAACAGCCTTGGCTTGTGTGCCCTTCATCTGCTATCCAAGGTCTCAGTGCCTCTTCCTCATGCTTGATTTCCTTAAAATCCTGGAAGCAGGAAGGGTCTGGAGTGATTTGGTGATGGAGTGCCTGGGATCATGCTGGAGCCTGGGCTGCCTGTGGGGTGTGGGCTTTGATGGCCCCCACTACACCTCATTTGTGGGGTGCTGTTGGTGCCTGGACTGCTGAGGTGCTCTGTGGGACCACCCAGTGCTTACTGTGTGGGGTGGACTGATGCTGCTGGTTTTCTCAGGCAGCCAGAGAGAGACCAGTTTGGAGAAGAGCTTCCCTGATCCCACTCAGAGCAATTCAGTGGACACTGTGTGCAGTGCTGTTGCCATCTGCTGGCTCCTCTCCCTGCGTGCCTGGTTTCTTCCTAGACTTGGGCTCTCTGTGAAGGCATCTGTGATACCTTAAAGAGGGTCTTGCTGCTTACAACAGGGGCTCAGTAGCGAGGCTGGGGACCTGCTGGCGTTCCTGGTGTGTCTGGGCAATGGGCTGTCTGATCTCAGGGTGGCTTTAGCACAAACAGGCGTTGCTGCCTGCATACCTGCTGCCTGCCCACACAGCTGCTGCCTGCCCGGGCCTGAGCGTGGCTGTTTGTGGTGGTTACGCACCGCGCCCGGGGTTGGGCTTTTCCCTCCCTGCTGCTGGCAGCTCAGGGTGGACTCCATCAGCCCCTTGCCAAGCTGGGAAGGGGAAAGTGTGGCTACAACAGCCTCACACCACACCCAGCCAGGTAGCCTGGTGTGGTTCTTTCCCTATTGTTTGGGGATGGGTATTGGCTGAGGCTGTGGAGCTGGAGGTGATGCTGGCAGCGGTGTGAGGAAAGGGTGAGGGCACCCCTGCTGCTCCTATACAGGTGAGTGGGATTGTCCTTCCTGCCTGCCTCTCTCCCTTAGCAGCACAGTGCTCCCAGATCCCCTCCCTCACAGAACCCTCTGAGTCTGCTGTCTGACCCCATTTTGTGCTGCCCTGACAAGCCAGAGAGGTTCTTCCCTTTCTGTGCATCCCATTCCTCTGGCACCAAGAGCAGGGCGCAGCCTCCCCATCAGCCAACACCCAGAGAACACAAAAGAAGATTCAATGCAAAAGGATTTTTATTGGATACAAAATCATTCCAGTCTAGTGAAAAAATTGACATCATTGCTGATGAAGCTTGTCTGGGCTTAAACCCGAGACTTGCTCCTGTCTGCTCCGGTCCTGCCGTGGCCATCGGATCCCATCCTCTCACACCTGGGCTTTGTTGGTGGCTCCATCCTGAGCAGCTGGTCCGGTCTGTGGGGCAGCAGAGCTGACCTGGATGGGCACACTCCTCTCGGGAGCAGCTGGCAGTGCCAGCTTGGGGGCCTCGATGCGGAGCTGCCCATCCTTGGACAGGGAGCAGGTCAGCGCTTCGGCGTCCACCTCCTCGGGCACGTCCCACTCCCGCTTCAGCACCTCGTACTTGTAGGAGAAGGAGCCCTTCTCATCGACACTCTGCGTCTCCTTCTGCCCCACCAGCACCACCTTCCTGCCCACCACCTTCACCGACAGCTCCTCGGGAGTGAAGTTCTTCACGTCCTGGCAGACAGAGAAGCCGTCCCCAGAGCCCTGGGTCAGGGTCATGCTGGTGCTCGGGCTGTGCTCCATGGCCATGGCTCCGTGGTTGCTCAGGAGCTGCTCGAAGCTGCTCATGAACTCCCGAGCTTTCTCCATCTCCTGCTGCAGCTCGGTGAAGATGGTCTCTGCATGCGGCCAGAGGGTCCTCACTGTGCCCAGCCGGCTGGCCAGGGAGCTGGAGGCGAATGGTGCGAGGTGCATCCGGCAAAGCATCGCTGCTGCTGTGGCTGCTGGTGCTGCTGCTGCTTCTGTCCCCTTTCCAGTGGGCTGGAAGCGTTCTGCCCGGCTGCTGCCGTCCGGAGGTTTTTAAACCCGTTCCCTGGAGGCGTGGCCTTGTCCCGCACATTACGTCACCCTCGGGAGAAAAGCTCAGCTCTTTCCAGCCCGTTCCAGCTCATTCTTGTTACTCACCCGTGAGGAGAGGCACGGCTGACGTCGTGCCCGGCATACCTTCGCCCTGACTCTTACGGCTTTGCTCTCCTGGCTTATAATTAGCAGCATCACCTCAGCCTCTGAGCGGGATGCCTGAGCCACCCTTGCCAAAAATCTGTGCCCTTTGCGTTTCCCAGGCATGGAGTGAGTCTGGGCTTGTCTCCTCCCTGCCTTCCCCCTCCCTCCGCTGTGTTCCATTTCCCCCCATCTGTGCCCAGGTAGGTCCCCTCAGGTGAGACCAGGAGTCAGTTTGTGGCCCCACGCCCAGGTGGGATGTGCAGTGGGGTGCTGAGGGATCAGGACAGGATGGGGGTGGCCAACAGGGAGAGGGGTCCCAGAAAGTGAAAGAAGTGCCTGGCAGCAGATGACATGGGACATGTGCTTTAGAGGTGGGACTAGTTGCTGCACTGGCAGGAGTGATGAGCTCCTGGCACAGTGGAGTCTGCCTCCACCGAGCCCCGAGCAGGGGGGCCAGGGAAGGGCTCTGTAGCCCCCCGGCCATGGCCCCGTGGGCCCTGCTGCATCACGATGGCTCTGCAGAAACCTGAGCTCCCGGCACTGACTGCGGCTCCCTATTTGTGGCATGTGAGCTGTCCCCAGAAACAGGCGCTGCTATTTTGGCTGGTGGATAATCAGCCTCTCAAAAATAGGCGATGGCTCCAGGAGACTGCGTGGGGGGAGAGAGCATTCTGGAAGGGACACACCCCTGGGCAGGGGAGAATAAAATCCCCTGCTCCCCTGCCCCAGCCCAGCACGGCTCCAGCCACTGCCCAGAGCTGCAGCACAGCCAGGAGCACTCCTTGGAGCAGAGATGCTTTGCCGCCTGCACTTCATGCCGCCCATGTCCAGCTCGCTGTTCCCGTGGCTGGGACCCATCCGCACCCTCTGGCCACATCCAGGCACCCTGTTCGCCGAGCTGGAGCGGGAGATGCGGCTGGAGATGGAGAGGGCTCGGGAGTTCATGAGCAGCGTGGAGCAGTACCTGAGCAGCGGGAGCAGCCCCGGGCGGCTCGGCATCGCCCCCAGCACCAGCGCAGCCCTGACCCAGGGCTCTGGGGACGGCTTCTCTGTCTGCCAGGACGTGAAGGACTTTGCGCCCGAGCAGCTGTCGGTGAAGGTGGTGGGCAGGAAGGTGGTGCTGGTGGGGCAGAAGGAGACGCAGAGCACGGACGAGAAGGGCTCCTTCTCCTACAAGTACGAGGTGCTGAAGAGGGAGTGGGACGTGCCCGAGGAGGTGGACGCCGAAGCGCTGACCTGCTCCCTGTCCAAGGATGGGCAGCTCCGCATCGAGGCCCCCAAGCTGGCACTGCCAGCTGCTCCCGAGAGGAATGTGCCCATCCAGATGGGGCCGGCGGTGGCACAGCCAGCTGGCAGCACTGAGGAGGGAGCCGAGCGGGCCAAGGCGTGAAGAGGAGCAACGGGGACCAGGCTGAGCCTGGCGACAGAGGGGGGCAGCTGCTGGCCGCAGAGCGGGACCGCGCGATGGCCCGGGGCGGGGTGTCTGCCCAAAACGTGGCTTTTTTGATATGTAATAAATATTCCTAACTTTTATTTGTGTGGTTTCGGTGTTTCTGGTCTTGCCCAGCCCTGTGCTTTGCAATGCTTCTGCAGGGTGGGGAGCGGGGCTGTGCTGGCACCGGGCATGTCCCTGGCACCTCTGCCCAGCTCTGCCCTGGCAGAGGAGGATGGGCGGGGGGCTCCAGGCTATGTGCAGCACTGAGCATCCCCTGGGCAGCCTTCGGACAAGCGACTCCCATCTTCGGGATGGTGCTGGAACACTCCCGTGCGATGCCACCCTGCCAGCTCTGGCACCTTCCAGGCGGTGCCCGCAGCTCCGCGCACCAGCCCGGCGCTAATCCGCTTCCCCCGCGGTGAGCGGGGGCGCGGTCTCTCATAAATGGCCAGGCGGGCGGAGCCGCCCGTCGGTACCGGTCGGGAGGCGCGGCCACGCCCCCCGCCGGCCGCACCCCGAGCCGGTGCGAGAAGGCGGAGGGCGGGTCACACACCGCATTTGGAGAAGAGGGCGTGGCCATGCTCCATATTTGCGGGAGTCAGCGGAATGCGGAGCGGTACCGGTTACCGGAGGGGTGCGAGGGCTCCTCCGGGTACCGACGGCTCGCCATCGCCCCGTGAGGGGCTGTCGCGGTGCGTCGTCATGACCGGACCTCGGTCCTCTCTGGACGGTACACGCCACCCGCAGTCCCGAGTGGGAGCTCTGCTCCCGTTTGGGACAGCGGGTGACGCGAACCGGCCCCGGGAGCGCCGTCCCGGGAGCAGCGGCCCCGCCTCTCCCGCCGCCGCGGACTACAGCTCCCGGCATTCCCGGCGCGCAGGCGCAGTGAGCGCGGGGCGCACGCCGGGCCCGGCATGGCGGAGCCGGAGGCCGCGCAGCCCGGGCGGCCCCCGCCGGGCCCGGGCACGGCAACAACGGGGACGGCGGGGGCGAGCGGGGTGACGGCTGGAGGAGCGGGGTCCAGCGACCCGGCACGGCCCGGGCTGAGCCAGCAGCAGCGGGCGAGCCAGCGCAAGGCGCAGGTGCGGGGGTTCCCCCGCGGGAAGAAGCTGGAGAAGCTGGGGGTGTTCTCGGCTTGCAAGGTGAGGGACAGCGGGACCGGGAGGGCACGGAGGGCGGGAGGGGGGGTTCCAGGCTGTGCGTGAATGGGGGAGGCAAGGACGAGCATGGCTGGGGGTGCAGGGGATACCGGAGTGGGAGTTCAGTGCTGTGCATGGGTGGGGATACAGGATGAGGATGCTGACATGAGGGGGGATGCAGGATGAGGATGCTCACCTGGGTGGGGATACAGGATGAGGATGCTGACATGAGGGGGGATGCAGGAGGGGGCTGCAAGGACGTTTATGGGTGTATTAGGGAAATTTAGGGATGCAGGAGGGTGAGAGCAAGGAATACGTGGACAAAGGATGCAGGATTGGGATGTGCATGGGGTGCAGGATGGGGGTGCTGGGCTGGGGGGGCAGGGGGGGCAGGAAGAGGGTGCTGAGTTACCCGAGGGAGGTGCAGGGATGTCACTGGGCAGGGGCTGCAGGGTCCTGGGGCTGCACGGAGCAGTGCTGGGGGGGTAGGTGATGCAGGGTGGGGGCTGAGAAAAGCTGGACTGGGTGAAGAGGGGTAGGTGGGAGCCAGGGAAATCCTTTGGCCACAGAAAGTGGCAGCCACTGCAATGACCACTGCTGTCCCTCTTCCCAGGCCAACGACGCCTGCAAGTGCAATGGCTGGAAGAACCCCAACCCCCCCACAGCCCCTCGGATGGACCTGCAGCAGCCGGTGACCAACCTGAGCGAGCCGTGCCGGAGCTGTGGCCATGCACTGGGTAACTCCTGTGGCACCCCCTGGGCAGGGCGAGGGCTGCTGCTCCCTCAGTGTCACCGTGGTGCTGCTCCTTCCCTCAGTGCCACTGTGCTGCTGATCCCTCACTCAGTGCCACTGTGCTGCTGATCCCTCACTCAGTGTCACTGTGGTTCTGGTCCCTCGGTGTCACTGTGGTGCTGCTCCCTTGTCCTCACTGTGCTGCTGCTCCCTCCCTCAGTGCCACTGTGCTGCTGCTCCCTTGTTCTCACTGGTACTGCTCCCTCACTCACTGTCACTGTGGTTCTGGTCCCTCAGTGTCACTGCAGTGCTGATCCCTCAGTGTCACTGTGCTGCTGATCCCTCACTCAGTGTCACTGTGGTTCTGGTCCCTCAGTGTCACTGTGGTGCTGCTCCCTTGTTTTCACTGTGGTGCTGATCCCTCAGTGTCACTCCAGTGCTGATCCCTCAGTCACTATGGTGCTGATCCCTCCCTCAGTGTCACTGTGGTGCTGCTCCCTTGTTTTCACTGTGGTGCTGATCCCTCAGTGTCACTGTGGTTCTGATCCCTTGTTCTCACTGTGGTGCTGATCCCTCAC